AGCCCTCCGTTCCTCTTATACTCCAAAAGTTTCCGCTCAATGAGACATGAGACGTGAGCCATGCGCGGGTTCACCGTAGACCCGTGCAGGTCTCATGTCCGAGCTGCTCGATTTGTATGTGAGGCTGCTCCATGAGAGCGCGAGTTCGCGGTTCTCGGACTTCAGCAGTGCTGATCATCATTGACGGTGCTGATTATCAGCACCGTCAAGCCCTCTAAGCTGCACAACCACCGAAGGGGACTTAGTAGGAAGTCCACCAACGCTATGGCTCATAACAGGAGTCCCAGCACCAGCGACCTGAGTTTGCCTTGCAGTGTAGCATATCAGTTGAAGAGCTGGACCCTCTAATGACGAGAGATGAGCGATGCTCAGACTCATCCGTCCTCGTGAAGACGCACCTCCACTTCGACAGCGGACACTTACACTGCCCCCAGTATGGGGGCTCGACAATATAGGGGCCCTATATCGTTTAGCGCCGATAGAGAGCCATCCCCATGAACATAGAGAGGTACCAACAAGGCGCGAGCCATACGTCAGGCCCCGTACCAGCCCAGCATACGGCCATACGAAACGAAGCTACTGCGTGGATATATCGAATGATCACGGCCAACAGACGGGCGGAAGAATTTATCCAGTCCGTCTAGCAGCGTGCCAAATTGGCACTGCCAATCTCAGGACTGCCAGCTTCCCCATCCTCATCGAACCAAGTTGGCACCTTGATGCCAGTGTCCTCTGCCATGCCATGAACCATCACGTGGTAGAAGCTGGCCGTCATTCCAGCTGCTGCTACAACACTGAGAGGATCCCCGTTCATCTCGAAAGAGAGCAAACTCAACTCTGAGCCCTTGACATCAACAAGAACACCATCGAAGGAGATCTATGCCATCTACAGCTTGTCTTAAACAAATTTTCTGTTTTTCTACCAGAATTTTCCTCAGATCGTCGACGACTTCCTCCGGGGACTCTCCGAGATGACTCCCGAGGAGCTTCCGCGCCTCCAACGACCTCTCCTCCCTCAGCAGCCTCTCGTATCGCCGCACACTCGCGCACACCTGGGAAAGGATAGTTTCGTGGCGCGTGATGTAGGCCTACCTACTCCCACTGGCGGCGACACCATATTCTGTTCCATCAATCGCATATTCCGGCGAGCCAGAACTTGAACTCTGCGCATGCGTGCAACATCAGTCATTTCCTCCGACGACATTGACCTTGAGTAACCGCCACGACCATCCCTTCGAATCACAGCAGACGAGAAACCTCCCGCCTGGATAGTGTAATACTGCAACCCCTTGAACCGGCCTTACCCTGGACAGTGGTGATGGGGTTTTGAGTACCCGTTGAGGCACTGGAGCCGATGGAGCTTCGAATCGATACAAGTCTCCACCCAAGGGCGCCGACAACGATCTGTCGAGCAATCTGAATGAGACGGGAAATTGACGGGGAAAAATGATCTAATTTGTGCATGGACTAGGAGAATCCTCCAGACAGAGCTGTTAGAAAGGACCGTGCGGAATGGGTCACCTTCTCTGCAATGAACTCCGGCCGATCAAAGCCTCGATCATATCATCCCTGAAGAAAAATGCGCGCACTACGTCTCGAACCCACGTCTATTCATGCTCGAGGATCAGCCGTACCGATCATCTGCCGCCTCCACTGGAGTAACTCCGCCAGGATCAGCCGCTTTCACAGATGCGCCACAATACACCAGAAGAGAGACCTATACATTAGTACCGACGAGATCCTCACCAGTGCACTTTACCAGCCTGCAGTTGCCTGTTCGGACGGCTGCCACCAAACACGTGTGTCCGAGGGGTGTTTTATTCGATTCGATAAATACACTACCATGCAAGCTCGCATCATTGGGAACTCCTGAGAATCTTGATGTTGACCATGCAAGATACAGAGTAGGTTAGCTAGTGGCACTATCTCACTTTTCAATGCCAGAGCCAGCAATGTCGCAACATTATCTGTGATCCCCAACACACAAGCCAGGAACAACGGCGTATACCCCCCTCTCGTTGTCCGGCACAACAGACTAGCACCATGACGTACCAACAACTGTCAGGTGAGAATCGTCATCTGCGAGTGAGTATGAATTCACCTTTATGCACTCCGCTGCTCCCTCACACATAGCAGCATGATGCAGCGGAGCGAAACCACTTTTTCTATCGATGCTACTGCCGTCAGCGCCGGACTCCAAAAGCATCGATAACATCCGAGGATCGTTATTCCACACCGAGAGGAGGACCGGTGAGGCTTTGAGGGAATTCAATTTACTCAGAGGCCGTCCCTCTGACACCATGGACCTACGGAAAACTAATGGGTGCACGGTTCGAACCATACCCCTTTAGCTTACCGAACAATGTCATCATCTCCTCGAGCAACTGCCCTATACAATTCGAACAATGCATCAATCTCGGGGCTTGCTGGCGGCGGATCGACAGGAGGATTCAATCCCAACTGCGATAGCTCCTCCATGCGAACTCTTTGATACCGCTAATTACCTCGTCCATCTCAGGAAACTTCTCGTTATGTACGAATGACGATGCCTGTCTGATCATAACGAGGATAAAAAAATCTTCGCTCCGCTCAACTCTATCCCAACACAAAACCACCTTCTCTAGCAAGCAATGCCAACCTCACTCGTGCGCTCTTTGAGAGCGGTTCGCAGCTCCTTCGCATCGTCAAGAGCCTATCGATAATATATCAACGCCGAGTCAGCTTCAGCACTGACCGCACAGTAACACTTTCATCGCGAGATCGTCTCAACTTCGACATTCAACTGTTACGCTGTGTGAACAGGAGTCGACAAAATTAGTACTGGGATGCTCCCGGTTTTGAACGTGTACTATAGGCAGCATATATGTGTGTATGGATGCTCAACCATAGTTCAGCTCTCTATCCTTATAATAATAAACGTGAGCAACCACATGCTCCATGAGGTTGCTCACTTTTATTATGAGTGCATGCAGGCATTCACAGGAATACCACTCTCAAGACTCTTGAGAGTGGTATTCCTGTGCATGCTAACAGTCTTAAGTCAAGACTGTTATCGACACGAACTAGCGAAACGTACTCAAAATTCACTTCCAAAAACTATCACTCCGCGCAGGCGACTGCTTCCTCGGAAATAATAAGTCCAAAGCCGTACTCTCTGGAAAGTAGCTATTCCCGAATGTCCAACGCAAAACATCGAGAACATCGACACCAGAGCGATTAAGTCGCATGAACATATCCAACAGACGCACTCCGCAACATCCTCATCGCAGCCTTCTGACGATCCGTTGCGACCGGCATCATCGGATAGACTCCAAGACGGTCAGACAGTCTTGTCTTTCCATCGTCGAGCCCAAGTTGACACTCGCGAATAACATCTAAACGCTCAGCAACTTCCCCTCCCGTTCCGCCGTAGTAGATCTCCTCCACTGCTCGCCACTTGTCATTGCCATCATCGATCCGCTGCTTCGAAGGCCAAAGGTTCTCTTCTGATCGACTCTTCTTGCGACGGCTACGCACGCCCGCTTGAAAGGGTCGAGTTGGAGATTTATGCACGGCGTAGTTCAGATGAGTTCCATCACTGCTATCTTCCTTGCAGATTTCAGAAGCTTTCTGATCGATATAGTCGAATAATCTGAAAATTTCTAGCGGAGCGATGCGAAAAAATTCTCATTACCTCCTCCAAAGAACCTCTCTTTGCCAGCTATCACTCTTACAAATTTTCACTATGAACTTTTCCTTTTGCTGCTGGTCTGCTGATACCGGCTCAGCTGACCACGCTGTAGGAGCAGTCGTTGTCTTTTCCCTATTTTTCAACAAGTCATCTTCAATGACGTACTCTCCCTTACTCCTTTCCAACTCCTTCAGGTCGTTTTTGGAGCGGATGGCCAACCGAAAGGACTCTCTCTCGATTCCGAGAAAAAATAAAGTCCAAACCTGATGATCACTGTGTCACCGCATGTGTCACCACGATGTTACCCTGGCTTTCCTCTCGAACTTTCCTCCGAATCAACTTTTCCGCTTTCTGCTGACCCTTTTTCCGGCGGCTAGCCAAGCACACCTCCCGACGTATCTTGGCCGAAGCCTTCAGTTGGAGTTTCGCCAAGACCTTCCGAACAATACATTCACACCGAGAGGGACCACATTGACGACAAATCTTCCGGATGCGCATGCCCATCATCAGCAACCCTCCCCTGAGCGCTCTGTTCTACTACACAGATCTTCTATAACAGCCACTGACCTTATGTAGCTTAGCTGATGGAAAACTTTATTAAACATTATGGAAAACTTCGTCACCTTCGCACTGTAGTGGAGCTGATACTATATACCATCGTTCCGCCCGTTCCTCTCCGGGGGTCCGATTATTCGTTTGACGGGTTAAGATGAGTGGACGTCTCACGCAAGTGACTTATGTCAGACGTGCATGAAATATTATATAGGTTTACTACACCTTCACAGACTCTCTCTATATTAGTCCCCCGTTCGACTCCACCCTCACCTCAAGGGCACCTCCATCAGCCGGTGCCTCAGCCAATATAGTGGAAATGCTCTGCAACGGTTCTTGGCTCAAGTCGCCGCTTCCTGGCGTTGGTGTTATCGCTCTGAAATCAGCTGAGTGAATCCATCGAGAAATCAAACTTACACTCTTCTTTCCTTCTTGTCGACTTTTCGAAACTCGACAGGTTGACTCTCATCCTCCTCAGCCGTTAGCCGTGTACTACTCGCGGTATGCGAAACTCGAATAGTCGGCAGTTTTTTCAGCGAGGAAATGCGATGAACCTTTTATAATTTGCATCCAACCAAAGTCCACCTAAGAAACCTCACAGATTTCCCCTCGAACTCGTCAGCCAGGCATCTCAAAGTCTTCCCCCACGCTGCCTGCCGTCGACGATACTCACTGTCCTCTACACTCTCTCTCAGCAATCGCCATGATGCCTGTTGGCGCAACCAAAACTCCGGGCAAGATTCACTCTTGTTATCCCGCAACAGAGCTGACATTTCCAACAAGCTATAGAAAGGAATCAACTATCATGTCGTTCCACATGATGTCTTTAAAGTTACTTTCATCAAAATCAACATAGAGCTATTCGAAAGCGTTTCTAGGAAGATGAACTCAAAAGCGGTTCGGCTAATACTGTACAGAAGTACCGATTTTAACATGCATATTACAAAACACTCTAACCCTACACGCTACGACAACAACGACCACACGAAGATCATCATCCCTCCTCCACCAACGGTGCCTCCCTCTGGGTAGCTGGATCGATCCAAGTCCATAACAATCACCTCAACAAGCTCGAGTCACAAGTTTAGCTCCTTCTAGTATGCATAGTTTCAACCTACTGTTGCTCCTGCTATGAGCATTTGACAGGTCTTTCAAACCCCAGCAATAGTACCAGAACCAACACTAAGCTTTACCGAGCATGTAACGCACACTCATGATTATAGCAAGATCGTCAAGGACCGGGAGGAGGAGGAGGAGGCGCGTCAGTGTCCATATTCACACTCTTCACACTGTCGTACCAAATAGTCCATCTGAATTACATGCCGCAGGTATACCACAAATTGGTCGGAAGAAACCAACACGAGAATCCGAAATCATTTAATTGTCGAGCTCGTTGTAACAATACCACTCCTCGCGCTAGTCCTGCCTATCCCTACCTGCCCTTCAACGACTCCTTCGGGATCTCTCCCATGCCCATTTGGTAGTGACAGAAAACCACCCCATGCTTCAGCCAGTTCTACCATGGCACGAGTACGCCCAGTATGGGAACATATTATTGCTTTCCTCAAATGAGCTCATAAGTTTTTTCAGTAATTGGAGAATTACGGTAGAAATGTACAGGTGAAAAATTCCTAAGAGTCTCCATATTGTCACCAATACATGTAGCTGACCATGAGCATATCAGAGTGGGAATATATTTTTGAATTCCTCAGCTGAGCTCGTCAGTTTTCTCACAACATTACGAAGATTCACACATGATTTTGGGGTAAAAATGTACAAAAGTCAACGAAAATTTCCTAAATTTTTTTCATAATTTTCATACTGCTACCAACACAAGTAGTCAAAAATTCCCACACTGAATAGGCCACGCCTCGAAGTTATACCGCACCTTCCCAAACTTAGTCGTCCTCAAGTTGATCCCCATCGTTTCACACAATCGCGACAACAACCTCACACTACCCGAAGCATCGGCTCGTATATTACCATCTGAATCACGCCGACTACATCGCCTTACAAGACCACCACCATTTCAAAGTTCGACGACTATGTAGACGCGGTAACCAGTGCTGACTGTCAATACTATACGATTGCAGTATCTGTTCCTCTTGATGTTATATCTCAGTGTAGGCGCTAGCGCTAGGCGATGATTATATTCCCTATAATTGGAAGTTTGAGTATTGTTAGCATTCAGAGTAACGTTCTCAATCAAGTGAGTGATCATCACATTGACGCAAAACTTGGAGATTCAATATCTCCCATTCTCCGAATAGAACACACAAACATGACCCCCACTCACTCGATGTTATTTTCAAATCCTTGGAGGTCCCCAAAATGTCATCAAACACTCGTCCCGGATCCTTCGCAATACTAGACCGACGCGAGTCCACATATATACCACTCTTAATAGGGAGCTCCTGTCCGCATATTCCAGTCCAACAACTTCATTTTTCATTCTACTTCAATCCATTCCCGATCGATCCTCCTAGGCACATCATATCCCACCTGCCCGTTGTCCGGTGCCGTGTCACCGCGATCAAAGTGAACTCGATTTATCGTTTCTAACCACTCCCGAGCCGACTCCTCGACTGTCTTCCCAGCTGAAGACTAAAACCAGGGTTGTCAAAACTGGAAATTCAGAAAATTCCAACACAAAAACCAACGTGAGGAATTGAATTTTCGTCGTAGCGCGACGGAGCAAGCAGTTTTTTCCCGACAATGGAATTAATTTCGCTGAAATTTCAATGTGAATTTCGAATTTCAGAAAGGGCGTTTCGGTTTCCGTCCTTGTTCCCACCCTAGTGATGTAGTAGTTGTGCAGATGCTCCTTGAGATGGTCCGGTATTTCTGGTCTGTGAGTTGACCACCAACGATCTACTGCCAGCTGGGTTACAGACATAGGAAGAAAGCACTAGTGGAGGAAAATATGGGGAAAACACAAAATTCTGGGGAAATTTCGGGAAATTATTGTTGTTTCTGTACATTTCTATCCGAATTCCTATGGAATTTATGCAATGGGGAAATTCCTGAGCTCAGGAAAGCGAACATATAGTTCGAACACGACGATGAATAAAATAACAATAACATCCAAAAACATCATTACATCAAGGCATGTCACTCAGAGCGGTATGGGGATGAATATATGTTTACCACCGACTTTTCCTATTAAAATTTCAGCTCTCGGCTTTCCATTTCCATCATCACTCAACATAGCCTTAAAATGCCTTTCAAGGTAGATATCCCCAGCAACGTGATTGACGAAGTCTTCAAATTTTCTGCTATCCTTTTTAACCGGATGAAACTCCAAAAATTCTCCCGATTCGTCCTCTCGCTTCACCGCGT